ATTTCCCTGCAAGCTGGGGGAAAGGTTTCGCCGAGAGCCCCCCAAAGGGGTGTGCACCTCGTAACCCGCGAACAGCACCCCGCCGGGCAGGCAGCTCTCCGCGAGGAACCAACGGTGCGTGCTTAAGCTGTTCTCGTAGCCCTCAGAGGAAACAGCAGTCATTTTTGGCCACTGCAACTGCCTGTACTCTCCCGCAGAGCGAAAAAAAAACAACCACCAAACACAGGGTCAGTTTTTCTTTCGGTTGGTTGGTTTCATCTGTGCCCCCGAGAGAACTCCGTGTACCTGCAGCGTCAGTGCATTCGTTCTAGCCGGTCCTCGTCAGCAAGCTCTGACAATTACAGACCAGCATCCCAAGTCATTTTTGGCCACTGCAACTGCCTGTACTCTCCCGCAGAGCGAAAAAAAAACAACCACCAAACACAGGGTCAGTTTTTCTTTCGGTTGGTTGGTTTCATCTGTGCCCCCGAGAGAACTCCGTGTACCTGCAGCGTCAGTGCATTCGTTCTAGCCGGTCCTCGTCAGCAAGCTCTGACAATTACAGACCAGCATCCCAATTGCTAGGGACCGGGGCAGTCCCCGGGAGGGAGACCCAGGGGTTTTAGAACTGACGGGACTGGACAAACACTTCTTGCCACAGCCAGTTCTCCGAAATTCTTTCTTTCTTTCTCTAGGGTTAATGAAATGTTAATAAATTCTCATTCAAACACTTAATGCTTATTTACTCGTATGTTAGAATCTGCTCATTGAGCTGCTTTCCATGCAGAATGTGAAATAACACACTTCAACTTTCAGTTTCTATTAAGAGTAGCTACAGACTCATCCTTTAATGAATCACAACCAAACATCAAAGAGGAATAACATTCAAAAATTTTTTAAAAAGTAAGCTTAAGTCAAGACTTTAAAAAATGGCATCTAGCACCTCAGCCTTTGAACGCAAGTTACGCTAACACCCCCTCCTCGAGGTCACCGAACACCGCGAGCTTCGCTTCACAGATGGGAAATACAGGTTTTCGCATTGCAACACGCGCCGCAATTCTCAGCCAGCCGTCTGGAGAGGCCCAAACCGACAGCTAGAAAAGCCGCGATTCAGAGGGCACAGGGCACAATTCCTGCCCCGCAAAACCAGTCAGTCCGTGTCTCTCTCCGAACAGGGTCAGGATTTGAAAACTGACCTCACGCTTCCTGGCGTGAACGCCACAACTCCTGAAGAGAGCACGAAACCTGCTCTGCGCTGGAAGCACGCACCGATTCTTACGCTGCGCAGGACACAATTTAACGGATTGCGTTCCGAATGTCGGGTGGTGCCTCACAAATACCGAGGGGGGGGTCCTGAGAAACCTAACTAGCCCGAAAAGCGACCGAGGGCACAGAAGCACAGGGGTCAGATGGAGGAAGCTCTCAACCGGCCGTCGGGAAGCCCAAGCGCCTCGCAGGCTTCAGGTGCTACGGACCGGACAGCCGCTGCTGTTCAAAATCACGTAGGGTACAGTGTAACGACGCCATTGTGGTTTAGTCCCAAAAATGACGAAAGAACTTGAAAGTCTTTAAGTGGACGTATATACTACTGAGATCTCAGGAATTCCTATTCACTCCTGTAGCACCCAATCAACGGATCTGTCAGTCAAGTGGAAGGTCGCCACTAAATGATGCTAACTACTGTAATCGGACAAGATTAGTTCAAAATAGCACTGAAGACATTATGTTTTTACAATTACATGTCATTATCCAATATACCAAAACATGCAGTTTGTGCAGGTATTTCAGTAACAACGAAAATAAAAGGTAATCTCCCACTTTCTTTGCTTCAAACCATTCTGAACATGGCGTAAAAATGTAGCAAAGGGAGGGCTAAATTAGCGTGAACACTTTACAATATACTCGCTGCATCGAGCGGACAGCAGCCTCTTCATTTTGCTTATCTGGGTGTTACAAAAGTAGAAACAGATATTCTATAGGTCCACTCTTATCAGTTTTACAGCATTTCAGCTATGCATCCAAAGAAAACAACTCACTCCTGTGGGATTACACCTTGAAGCCACATGAAGTAAAGCTTTTCTTAAGGTATTGCAAAGTTATTGAAATGGCTGGAATATTTCATAGCCAAAACCAAAGTACGATAAAAGCATATACCAGAGGTTTTATTGTTTTAGTAGCAGTCAAAATATGCTTAGTATAGAAATCCATGTTTATTTGAAAAAAACCCTGTAAATGGTATTTCACAACATAAATTAAATCTGCTTACAGAGTTTTGGTGGCTGAAGTAGCTGCAACTTGACTGCTAATTGATAATTTGCCAGTGTAACATTAAATGGGATCTAACCTGCTAGTATAACATTAAATGGGATCAGGGTGTCATTTATATTGCAAGTGTTAAGAAAACATCCCATAAAAATAGTCAACCAACTATGTTCTCTCCTAGTGTGAGCAACAGTGAATATCATGAGCAACAAGGCTGAAACAGAGGATTCTACTTTTTGACTGAAATTTTTAAACAACTTTCAATCATTCAAGTATTATGGTCCCTATATACATACTCCTATGTGGCTAAAAAAAAGACACGGTAGACAATTGAGCACACTGCCATCAAATCGTAAGAATTACAAAATTGTCAGGTTTTAAACAGCAAATTGTACCTTAGTCATTTAATTAAAAATAGAAGAATTAGGTAGACTATTTTGCAAATAAAACAGCACACTAGTGTGCTATATATTAAGGCATACCTTTAAATGCGCACTTGTCATCTCTAACAAGTTTTATACAATTGCTACCAAGTGAAAGGACTATCATTGTCTTGCAAAACTGAGAAAGAAATACAAAATATCTGGAAGCCTACATTTTTAAAGTACAAAATTAACCTTCAGTCCTTGTGTCGAAATACTATACACGGTACAAACAGCGATTCTCCCCTACAAGATCTCACGAGGATTTCTTAAAGCTGGAGGTAAATTTGAAGGTTTTGATTCTTCATCCAGAAGTACCAAATCTTCGATTTCACTACCTTTGTATTTTCTTTTACATATCTTAACGATAACTTTCTTCTTGAGGAATAATTTCAGAGCTTCTCTTGAAGCAACCGCTTTGGCATTTTCCATACTTTTACCACAGCCAGTACCCAAGTAGACAGACTTGCACCTCAGTTCGCAAACTATATTTTCTAGAGAGCTCTTGTTTTGAGGCAAGTCTGCAAGTTCCTTCAGTGGAACAAAAGCAACATCTAACGTAGCTTTTACAGACTGAATAGATGAGTTTAGAAGTTCTGCGTGATTTACGTTAGGACTGAAGCCTCCAACAGCCACCAGTTTCCAGGCTACAGCTTTGTACAGTCTGTTGAAAAACGGCTGTCTTTCCTTTGCATCCTCACTGGTTAACGGTTTGCCCAAAGCCTTTGCAGGGCTTTCCCCTGCCTGTGAGCCACTCTTGGAGGCAAGCTGTGGTGAACCTGCCTGCGTGCCAGCCTTGGAGGCCAGCAGGGAAGCACCTGCCTGAGCTCCACCCCGAGAGGCCAGTGACGAGGGACCTTGCTGAGCGCCGCTCCGAGCGGCCAGCAGCGAAGCAGCCACCTGAGCGCTGCTCTTGGAAGTCAGCAGCGAGGATCCCTGCTGAGCGCCGCTCCGAGCGGCCAACAAGGAGGCAGCCACCTCGGCACTGCTCTTGGAGGCCAGGAGCGAGGAGCCCGCCTTAGCAGTTCCCTTGGAGGCGAGCAACAGTGAGGTGCCTGCCTGAGTGCCACTCTTGGGAGCCAGGAGCAGCGAGCTGCCTGCCTGAGCGCCGCTCTTGGACACTGACGCTGGGGCACTCACTTGGTTTTTGGAAGACAGCAATGTAGCACTTGTTTGCAGGGTGCTCTTGGTGGTCGGCGGCACCACTGCTGCAGGCACTGCCTCTGCCTGCGAGATGCTCTTGGCAGCCGGTGCCACTGCACTTACTGTAGTTTTCTTTTCAGGTGAGGGCACGTTTTCACACTTGCTTTCCTTAGGTGGATTTGAGCATGGCTTCTCTCCTGACTCTTTTTCAGATGAAGGTGGATTCTGCTCAGTGGTATTTTCAGCACTAGCAGGTTTTCCTTCTGTTTCTATGTCTGATGCTGTGACCATTTCTTGATTTGAACTGCAAGTTGACTGGGCGCTTTCTGGATCTTTGCTAGTAACTTTTTCCTGCTTTTTTGGCAATGTGATCTCTGTTTCCTTCGCGGCTTCTGCCTTGGTTGTTTTCACATCCTTTCCAGTATCCTTCGAATCTCTGCTTTTCTCAACAGCTCTCTTCTTGGAGGGCTCCTCTACCCCTTCTGCAAAACAAGTAAAGTATGTTATCCTCTTTAATATCAAATATCCAGCTAGATACAATTTATCTATTTTCTAAAAACTTCTAGCAATAATATCTGTGAATTTAAGAGGCATATATCAGGAATATACCTTGAACTGTAATTTCAAGTATTAACCTATTATTTCAGACTATTTTCATATTTTTTGACAAATAACTAAAAAATTTCAGGTTTTGGTTTGGGACCTGTAGGCAAGTATGTATTTCTGTTCTTGAAGTCCAAACCAAAAATGACCAAAGTACATTAAATAGACTATTTGACCTAAAAAAGAAAAAACACACCACTGTATTTTGTCTACTAATAACATAAAATCATCTTTAAAATACCACTTTAAGAATTTCTTTACGAAACTAAGTTTCTCACAAAGCAACAACATCTGATTGGCGCTAAAGGGAAAGTCACAAGAATGCATTTAAGCTGGACTACAATAGTCTACATTGGATTAAAAAAATAATCAGCTTAAAGTGCACCAGTTGTAGAAATTCAAAACAAGAGCTCTACATTACCAACGGAACACATACGTGTTACATCTATTTTTCACAGGTATTACATAGGGGAAAAAAAATAGCACAGAGAAGGGAAACGATTAACAAGGAGTTTAAAAAGTAAATTGTTTTGACTGCTTTCTAAGCCCGAGGTAAAGCGAGAACATTCAAAAACAAGCATTTTCTAGACTCCTATGTATTGTCACAGCTATGATCTGCTAACCATTGCTACTTGATATGCCTCTTTTCTTCACCTTGGCAACCAGTTCATCTCTCGTGGTGCGGACGGGCGCGCCGGTCACTTGGATGCCTTCGGCCATTTCCAGCGCCTTCTCCATGACCTGCGGTGGGTACCTGGAGGGGC